CGTGGCTCCCCGGGGGCGACTCACTGCCTCAGCTGCTGCCCTCCCTCTTCCCCCCTTCCCTGGCGGTGTAGACAGAGCGTGCGCAGCTGGAGGACGGGCGCTTCGTGTACCGCCTGCTCCGCTCGCCCATGTGCGAGTACCTGGTGAACTTTCTGCACAAGCTGCGGCAGCTGCCCGAGCGGTACATGATGAACAGTGTCCTGGAGAACTTCACCATCCTCCAGGTGAGTCACTGGGCCTGGCCAGGTAGCCCAGGGGGACAGGATGTGGAGGGCAGCGCCCACAGCAGACTGTTAGTCTAAGGATCCCCAGGGGAACTCATGTGTTGGGGTCCCCCACAGTAGATCCTTAGCCTCAGAGGCCCCTTCAACTGGAACTGGTAGATGGTCGGGATCCCACAGCAAACCCTTAGCCTAGGGAACCCCTTCACCCAGAAAACCGATGTGATGCCCACAGTACCCATCAGCTTAAAGGATGCCTTGGCCCAGCAACTGGTATGATGGGAACCCCCAAGGGAACCTTTGGGACTCCTTCATCTGGGAACTGACATGCTTGGGCCCCACCCCTAGACCCCTTTATTCAGAAATGGTGTGGGGGACTCTTCAGCTTCTGGGAGACTCCTCTCTAAATAAAATAAAATAATGATGTGATAGGCACCTGTCAGTCTAGGGGACCTCTTCACCCAGAAACTGACATGAGGAGGACTCCAGGGAGGACCCTCAACTTAGGGGACCACCTTACCCAGAGAATTGGCCGTGGTGACCCTTGGTTGGCCTCTCATCCTGAGACACCCCTGCAAGACACTCTACAGGAAATTCTCAGGGGAGCTCCTTCACAGGGCCCCTACTTGATGGGTACCCTTTGGTCCAGGGAAAGTGATCTAGGAGGAGCCTCTTGAACTGGGGCAACGTGGGTGTCCCTTTCACTGGACAACATGAGCTGGTGGATAGCCCCTTGTACCTGGGGCATGGTGGGGACATTGAGTGGGGTGTAATGGGGACCACCATCACAGCCCCTAACTCCTTATTGCCCCCAGGTGGGGATCTTGTCTGTCTGGGGGTCACACGACATGGTAGTGATCGACCACTTCCTGAGAACTTGAATCTCCCAGGATGCACTGGGAGGGTACAGGGGCCCCTTCCTGACCTCTCTTCTGGCCCCTCCGGCAGGTGGTGACAAACAGAGACACGCAGGAGCTGCTACTGTGCACTGCCTACGTCTTCGAAGTCTCCACGAGTGAGCGTGGAGCTCAGCACCATATTTACCGCCTGGTCAGGGACTGACTTGCCCCCCAAAGACCCCCATCTCTCGGACAGGACCCTCCAGATCTTGCCCTGCTCCTCATTTTGAGAAGGGGGCTGTGATGAAAGGGGCTGGCCTCAGAGGCCTAAGTGACTGGGACTTAGCCTGGGCCCCCCGCCCCCACAAACCTAGGAGTTTACTTTTTGCTCTCTGGTCTTGATGGAAATGGGCTGGGACTGAGAGGAAAGGATCGACCACCCCCTCACCCCCCACCCTCCATACCGAGATCTCACCCGGGAGGTGTCTGAAAGGACAGGTCACTCTATAGCAGCGGTTCTCAACCTGTGGGTCTCGACCCTTTTGTGGGTTGAATGACCCTTTCACAGGGGTCGCCCAATTCATAACAGCAAAATGACAGTGATGAAGTAGCAACGAAAAAAATTTTATGATTGGGGGTCACCACAACATGAGGAACTGTATTAAAGGGTCGCAGCATTAGGAAGGTTGAGAACCACTGCTCTACAGCATCAGGGGCTGGGGATGGGGGGTGAGAGACCCCTCTCAACCTCTTGACAGGAAACCCCACCCCCCACCTTGTTTTGGAGGGTCCCAGCTACTCTCACCTGGAATCAACTCAAGGGAACCCTCACAGCCACCCCAACAGCTACACTTACCACCCCTGCCTGTCCTACCACCCTCCACACCCACACCCTCTCTCCTTCACTCTGATGTGTTTTACGGAAAATTGGTTAACCCTCGGCGCAGGAGCATGGCCAGGTGGGCCCTGAAAATCTTATTATTTTTGTTTTAATATAACAAAAGCTATTTATACATAGGTGTTAGGGTCTTGCTCTAGCCTGGGTAAGGGGTGAGTGTGGCTTTCTAATCTCAACCCCCCCTTCCCCCTTTTCCACATGAGCTGTGGGCTAGGCGGTGTGGCCCACCCGCTCCCCCCAACCTCCAAAGTGTGTTGGTTGTGTTTTGATAGAATATAAAGCTATTTTACCAAGACGCGGGGGATTTATTTGGGGTTTGGGGCAGACAATAACCTGGCAGGGAAAGTGGTAGGCTACCGGATGTGTCTTTGGGCACAGAAAGCTGATATAGCCAGAAGCCCCGGGTCCCCAGGGAGACGTGGCAGCTCAGGGCAGGCAGGACATCTGGGTCCCCAAGGGAATGAGGTGGCAGCGGCGGGCTCAGTGCCAGAGAGGGGCGCACCAGGGAATAAACAAATATTTACAAGGCATCAGAAACGGGGGCAAGGTCAGGAGATGGAGGCGGGGCCTAACGGTATTGCCTGAGCTGGTTGTAGACGTGGTCCAAGTTCCTGCACAGGAATATCGAGAGCGTCATGAAGGCCAGCTACAGAGAGAGGAAACTCTGTCAGAGAACTCAAGGGGGCGCTCAGGGTGACAAATCAGGGGAGCAAGGGGGGCGGGGCAGGATTAGGTGAGCTGAGCCAAGTTGGGGTGGGGGGCAGGTGTCTGTCAGAAAAGACGGTCCTTTAGGGCTATTTTGCGTGCAGAAGATGAACCCTGGTAGGGCAGTGGTTAGGCTGCTAAGTGCAAGGTTAGTTATTCGATTCCACTAGCTGCTCCGCGGGAGAAAGACGAGACTTTGGGTTCCCATACAGAGCTACAGTCTTGGAAACCCACAAAGGTAGTTAGTTCTACTCTGTTCTAGAGGGTCGTTACGTTCAGAAATGACTTGCTTCGAAACGCCCACCTTTCCGCTGGTGATCTTGAGCAGGTAATGGTTTGTGCCATCTCGTAAAACAAAAAGAAAAATCCCTGCGCATGGAGTGGATTGTGACTCATAGGGAGGCTACGCGGGATCCGCGGGAATAAACCTTAACGGGAGCAGACAGCCTCACCCTCCACTGGGTCAGCTTGTGGGTTTGAACCACCAACTTGGTTAATAGTCCAACATCTAATTCACAGAGCCATCAGGCAGGCCACATTTTGTGCCACCGCAGAGTTGGGGGAAGTTGAGTCAGAGGAGAATGGGGTAGTGGTTACGGGTGCCAAGGGCATGGGCACAGGGACATGGTGAGCGCGGGTGGGGTGGGAGATCTGGGAGTTAAGGATCTGCACTAGGTAAGATTGGGAAGGAGCGAGCTCAGGAGCCAGTGCAGGGTTGCAGCTAGTGCTAAGGACCCTCCTTTATTCTGGACCCTCTTCCATCTCCACTTCCGCGCCTATGCTCCCTGGCTCGCGCTGCTGCTCCGCGTCTAGCTCCCAGAGCGCCCACGGCCCCAGGGCTATGGGGAGCTTGCCCTGCAAGGTCTTGTCTCCCCAGTTGGGACAGGCATCTGCCATGCCCCGGCCACCCCGTGGATTGCCGTTTCGTCCGCTGCTGTTAATCATGCCACCGCGGTCAGGGCTCAGGCTGGCTCCAGGGCTCCAGCCGCTGGTTCCCAGAGCCCACAGCCTCTGCCCGCCAGGGAGCGCGCTGCGTGGTAGCAGCAGGCTCAACCCCAGCACACTCACCTGTGATGAAAGGGGGGTGGGGAGGAGATCGGCCAATAGCTGGAGGCTGGCATACCGAGTAGGACCAATGGAGGCCAAGTATGGAGGAGCGGGACCGCCTCCCGGCGTCTGGCCAATCAGCTCACCGAGGCTGGATCTCCGTCCCTTCCCCATCCCGTGTGGCGCGGTGGGAGCGCCTTTAAGCGCAATTGGGGCGGGGCCATCTAGGGCTTATGGGGGCCCCCAGCGAATAGCGAAGGCAAATCACCTCGAGTAGACCGACGCCCAGACAAATGCCCACGATGGAGATGAGGTTGTTATGCAGCCACTTCTTGAGGTTCTGCTTGCAGCCCTGGGGAGGGTAGAGAACGGTTAACCAATCACAGGATTCCTGATGGGATTAGTCCTCACCCTTTCATTTCAGAGCAGGGCTCTGGGTCCTTGGGTCAAACTGAAAATTCGAGTTCAGCCAGAAAGCTAGCTGGTAATCTGAAAAATCAGTTTTTGAAACCCCCCTGGTCCATGTGGGGTTGTCACGCATGGGAGTTAATTCCAGGACAACTAGTTTTGCTCCCGTTAGAAGCTCGCCTCTCCCTAGACATCGGGGCGCAGTAGGTTAAGGTTGGCGCTTCGAATCCCGCAGTCACTCCGTGGGAGCAGAATGCTGCGTAATTTCCCGCCTCGGAAACCCTAGGCGGCACTTCTACTCTGTCCTAGAGGGTCGCTGATGGCAGTGCGTTGGGTTGGACTCGGTTCGTGGTTGTTAGGTGCCAGTTGAGTCGGTTTGCGACTCACAGTGACCCCGGGTACAACAGAACAAAACAGCTCGTTGCTACGCCATCTTCGCGATGATTCATGTTTGAGGCCCTGGTTGCGGCCACTGTGTTCATTCATTCCCTTGAGGGTCTTCTTTTTCGTTGCCCCTGGACTTTACCAAACGTGAGGTCCTGTTCCACGGATTGGACACGTCCAAAGTGAGGTAAGACTTCAGCATCAAGGTCCTGGCTTTTCAGCCCATTTTCTTTAGACAGGAAACCCCGCCCCCTTATGCGGCCCCGCCCCTCCCTCTCGCGAGTGGCTCCTTCCTTCACGCGGGCCACGCCCACGCCTACGCCCCGCCTCCTGGAGTCTCCGCCTCTCTCCAGCCGCCGCCACCTCACCTCTGGGTAGATGTGCCTGTCGGCCGGGATCAGGCAGAGGTCGGTGTTGCGCCTGGGTCTCGTCAGAGGCCCCTGCCGGCTGAGTTGGGGGATGGAGACCCTATCGGCGATTGCGGAGTTGTTGGTCGACGAAGCGTTGTAGCAGGAGCAAGGCACGCGGGACCCCGTCGACTCGTTGCCTTTCAGGCTGGGCACTTGGAGCCAGTCCTGCGGATAATTCCAGCCGCAGCAGCGGAGCTGAGAGCGAGGGGCGGTTGTCAGAAAGGCCAGGCCCGTGTGTGTGCCTGTGTGTGTGTGTGCGCGCAAGTGGACTGGGTGAGGGGTGTAAGGCCTTGACGCGGATGGGGCAGTGAGGTCGGCGGGGGGTGGTGGTGGGGCTCAATGGGTGATGAGAGAGACAAGAGAACCCATGGGGACCTGGAGCTGGGAGAGGGCATGGAATCACGTAGTGCATGGGACTAGGTGTTGCGGTCCAACTTCGGGTCCTGGACAGGTGGGTGGCCGTGCCGGGACACTCGGGAGAAGTCCCGTGTGGGGGGCGGGGTAGGTGCTAAAGTCTCTTTGGGACTGGGGGTCGGGACGTGAGAGGTGGGTTCTGGGGCTGGGAGGTGGGCCCACGTGGGGCGGGGAGTGGAGGCAAGTTAGGGCTGGAGCAGGAGGTGATTTAAGGATGGGGGCGGGGTCGAGTCAGGTGGGGTCTCGTTAGGGACCTGGGGCTGGTGTGGTGGACGCGAGGCAGAGACTCCTGGGGGCGGGCAGTGAGGGTGCAGGGCGAAATCTAATGGAGACAGGGGTGGGGCCAGTCATGCTTTTAGAGCCGGCGGGATGGGGCTAAGTGGCGGGGGTCCTGTGGTCAGAGGAGCGGAAGCGGGGGCAGGGCCTGCCGGAGGATGGGAGCCGGAGGGACGGGACCACAGGTTGTGGCCACGTGGGTCGAGGGCGTGGGGGGTGGGGGAGTGCTTAGTGAGGCGGGAGCAGGGGGCGGGGCCGGAAGCGGGCTGGAGGCTCCTCTGCAGGGGGGTCAGGCTTGGGTCCCCGAGCTGGAGGGGCGCTCCCGGTGGGCGGCGGTGGGGCAGGGGCTCAGGCACCTGGAACTGCACGTAATCCCAGCTCTCCTCTGCGGTCGTCTCCTCCGGGTTGGCCCCGTAGTTCCGGATGGTCTCCAGCACCATTTCCTCCACCTTCCGCTCCAGCTGAGAGGCCAGGAGCGAGGCGAGACCTTAACGGCCTCCTTGCCCCGCCTCGACGCCCCCCCATCCCCGACACTGCGCGCCCGGCCTGCCTTCTCCCTCCACGGCGGTCTCAGCCCCCAAGGGCGCCCCACCCCGTGGGCATCTCGGTGTCCGCTCAGGCTCCTCGGTGAATAGAAAACTGGCTGGGTCTCTACCTGCGGTTTCTCACTCGCTCTCGTTAGTTCCTTCCACTGCATTCTGACCCCTGGACTCTGCCCAGTAGAACTGCTTCCCAGGGTTTGCAATGCTGTGACCTTTCGCGACCAGATCTTTCCTAACGCCCAGCCACCGCATGGGTTGGAACCACCAGCCTTTGGGGGCTAGCAGCTGATCTCAAATTGCTTGTCCCAGCCAGGCTCCTATTACGATTGCTAAGGTCAGCGGTTCAAAACCCCCAGCCGATCCGTGGGAGAAAGATAGGAACTTTCTATTCCCATAAAGAGTCACAGCCTTGGAACCCACTGGGGCATTTCTACCCTGTCCTACAGGGTCACTAATACTCAGAACTGAGTCCATAGCAGTAATATTTTAAAAAAATACACTCCCTTCCCCCCAACTCGTCATCAAGGACCCCTGGTGGTCTAGTGGATCATGCATTAGGTTGCTAACCGCAATGTCAGTGGTTTAAAATCACCGGCCTTCCGGCGCGAGAAAGCGGAGGCTTTCTACTCCGTAAAGAGTTACAGTCTCTGAAACAACCCCCAGGGGCCGCTATGAGTCAGAATCTCCTGGATGGGGCCCAGTCAAAGCTTCCTCAGAACTTTCTGCTTCTCTCACTGTTGCCCTTGTTGTGGTCGTCGTCGTCTGCCCCCTGCCCGCTTCATTTTTCAGTTGATAATCCCTCTGATGTCAATCTCTCTCTTCCTAGCTCGGGGTCCCTGGGTCCCTGTCCTGGTATCTTTGCCTCTGTGCAGCTCAGTCTGTCTCCACCCCTGTCTCTCTCTGGTTGTCACTCTCTTCCCCTCTGTACACCTGTCTTTCTGTTTCTCCCTGTCTTCCTCTCCTCTTGCAACTCCTGTCTGTGCCTGGGCCGCTCTCTCCGTCTCCCTCCCTCCAGGCACTGTCACTCCACCCCCACCATGCCAGCCACCGCTTACCAGCCTTCTCTGCGTGGAGATGAGGATCCCCAGGATGATCTGCACGGCAAACAGGAGCAGCAGCATCCCGAAATACTGGGGTGGCAGGGCCGAGTTGGAGAGATCAGGCCACGGGGACTGCGGAGTCGCGATTTGGGGCCACCCACCCCCGGGGGGTCCGTGCATAGTTCTGGGGATGGAGAGACTCACCAGGGGGAGGGAGGAGGTGGCTGAGGAGGCCCAAGGGGCCCAGCTACTCACCAAGCCAAGGAGGCAGCGGAGCTCCTTGAGGGCCCCCACGCAGCCCAGGAGGGCAAGGCCCATAGTGAGGATTCCAGAGATAGCCAGGGCCTTGGACCAGACCTGCAGGGAGAGGAAGGACAAGCCTACGGAGGCCAGGGGGTGTGAATCAGAGGTGCCCTTGCTGCCACGGACTCTACCACTTTAAGTCAGGAGTAGCAACCCAAGAGCCCTGTTCTGAGTTCCTGGGGCTCCCCTGGCTGGGTTTCTGCCCTCCCCCTCCCCAGCTCTGACTCGGCCCCTCTTTCTGGGGCTCTGTGCTTCCTTCTCTCTGAGGCTCTGTCTCCCTTTCTCTGTCCCTTCTGCCCTCTGAGGCTCTTCCCAGCTCTCCGGTTCCCGGTCCCACTTCCCTCTTATTCCTCATCCCTAACGGTTTCAGTTCCATCACTGGTGACAGACCATCACTTGGCCACTGACCTTCCCGGAAGCCTAGAGAGTATCTATTCCCTGGGATCGATGGTCTTGAGGGACAAATGGGAGGAGGTGTTTCATCAGGCCACCAATGCATGGCCCAACGAACAGACAGACAGCCCCCCTTCTTAGTGAGTGGATTCCTACTCAGGGATTTTGAAGGCAGAGTAGAACTACACTGTAGGGCTTTTTACCCTATAGGGCTTTTTATCCTATAGGGCTTTTTACCCTATAGGGCAGTGGCTCTCAGCCTTCCTAATGCTGCGACCCTTTCATACAGTTCCTCATGTTGTCGTGACTCCCAACCATAAATTATTTCTGTTGCTACTTCATCACTGTCATTTTGCTACTGTTATGAATCAGGCGGCCCCTGTGAAAGGGTCTTTCGACGACCTCCGAAGGGGTCATGACCCACAGGTTGAGAATCGCTGCTATAGGGTTTCCTAGGCGGTCAGTATTTTTAAAAACCATTCTATTGGCAGGCATCTCACATATCATACAATTCAATAGCTCATTCATATCAGTAAGGGTTATTCAATCATCTCCACGTCAATATGAAAGCTATAAATCTTTACCGAAGCAGACGGTCACACCTTCCCCTGTAAAGCCACTGGTAGGTGCCAACTACTGACCTTCTGGTTAGTACCGGAGTGTTTTACCCACTGGGGCTCGCTCCTTAACACAGGGCAAATACTTTTTTAAAAAATTTATAAATTATTTTATTGGGGCCTCTTAACAGCTCTTACAACAATCCATACATCCATTGTTTCAAGCACATTTGTACATACGCTGCCATCATCATTTTCAAAACATTGTCTACTTAAGCCCTTGGTATCAGCTTCTCTTTTTTGCCTCCTCTTTTTTCCCCACCCCCCCAAACCCTCGCTAAATTATAAATTATCAAATGATTTTCCTATCTGATACCGCCGCTGTCTCCCTCCCCCCACGTATCTGTTGTTTGTCCCCGACGGGGGTCAATACTTAACTAAGGTTAAGCTATTAGGATTCTTATGAATTTATTATTATGTCTCTACTCTTAAGAATAGGGTTTCTGTACATGCCCCCCTTCCTTGCCCGTGTCACCCAGCCAAACAACTCCTCCTCTGAACCTCAGGAGAAGGGGAAGGAAGGTGGACGGACACACGGGAAGTCCTGGGACAGCAACTGCTGTTGTTATTGCCTTCAGCCATCCGATTGGATCTCTTAGCTCCATGTACCAGAGGGACAACACTGAGGTTCAAAGAGGAGTGGTGGCAGCGGTGAGAAGACCTGAACCTGGGGCCTGCCAAGGGACCTGGGCTCCAGAGGACCCTGCCTAGATCCGGGGTGACTCCCTGGCAGTTGTTTGAGAGGAGAACCATGCTGTTCCACCAAGGCCCTCCCCAGGTTAGTACCGGAGTGTTTTACCCACTGGGGCCCCCTCCTCACCCACAAAGGACACGAAGCTGGTCTTGTCCACAAGAATCCAGATGCCGAAGCAGAAGATAAGGCTGCCTAAGAACTGGGGAGAGGAGAGGAGAAGGGTGGTGGGTGGGCAGGGCCAGGAGGGGCGTGGGGGTCTGGGGGTGTCCGGCGGGGACGAGGGCCAGAGGCCTGGGGAGCCATGGCGGGGGAACTCACGAAGAAGAAGAGGTTGAATACGAAGAGGAAGTACTTGATCAGACTGAGGCAGCTGCCCTGTGCAGACATCTTCACCTAGACGTGGGGAGACCACCGTGGGGAGACCACCGGAAGGGACGGGGCAGGGATGTGTTGGCCGGCTGGGCCTGACGGGGCCAAAGGAGAGAGCGGGGGGCCAAGTCCGAAAGAGAGAGAGAGAGAGAGAGGCTGAGAGAGAGGGAGAGAGAAAAGAACAACTCAGAAAGAGGAAGTTTCAGGGGTTGGGCGCCACCCCCTCCTTCCTCCCCTGGGTGGCTTTGTCTCACAAACACACAAACTAATACCTGTGGGACCTTGGCATCAGTGGGCACCAAGGACGCACGAGGCGGCTCCTCCCAAGGCTCCATGGTTGAGCCTGGGACACCTGCAGGGACTCCTGTTCTACCTGCTCCTTCCTGTCTCCTCTGGGCACTGGCACCCCCACCCCCCACCCCCTGGGGACTGGCTCTGAACAGAGGCCGACCTCACAGACACGCTGACTTCATGGCCTGCTAAGCCCAACCACCTTTGCTTCCCACTCTGGTCCCTTACCTGGCCTGCTCCCGGGCCCCTCCCTCTCTGCGTCTTACCTCTTTTTGTGTCTCTCCATCCCATCCCCTCCCTCCACCTCCGTCTCTGTCTCATTCTCTCTGGGTCTCGGACCCCCTCTCTCTGGGTCTTTGGATCTCTATCTCTCTCCATCTCTTTCCTCTTCTCTCTGGGTCTCGGACCCCCATCCTCACCCTCTTGTCACTCTCTCCCCCTGGGTCTTTTGTCCCCCTTATTCTCTGACTCTCCCCTCCCCCACCTTGGCTCCTCTAGAGTGAGGACCAAGGTGCTTCCACCTCCCACGTGCTGGGGCTGAACCTGGGTATCTGGGGGAAGTGAAAGTGCTGCAGGGGCGACGTGGGAAGGTCCCTGGGAGTACGGCGGGTGGCCCGGCCCAAGCTGTACACCCAGCGGAAGCTCCGGCCCCAGCAGCACTTCCTGCCTTGGCAACGGGGCCCTGAGGAGAGGAAGGCCTTGGAGCTGCCAGGATTGAACGGGAGACCTCGGCAGTTAGATCTGGGTCGGTGGTGCCCGAGCCTTTTTATTTTTATTTATTTATTGGAAGATGCCTATTTTTATTAAGGCTATAGATACACATTTAGAGCTGATATTACATCTATATTTTAATCATTTTATTATATTAGGGGC